ATGTTGTTATTTTTATTCTTAGATCCCTCTAAGTGTTTACAAAATTTGTTTTCATGATCTTACCTATATGATACGAAAAGGAATATATATATATATATATATATATATATATATATATATATATATATATATATATATATATATATATATATATATATATATATATATATATAAACCGCTCCGGTGGCCTAGTGGTTAGAGCGTCCGCCTCGGATGCGGGAAGTCGTGGGTTCGATCCCCGGTCGAGTCATACCAAAGACTTACAAAAATGGTACTAATAGCTGCCTCACTTGACGCTCAGCATTAAGAGGTTAGTGTTAGCACTGGTCGGCCTGGTGTCAGGATAATGATTCCCCAGTGCTAGACATCACTATAAACTGCCACACTGCAGACATCGTAGTGATATGGCTGAAAATTTTTTAAAAGCTACGTTAAAATCATAAACACACAAACATATATATATATATATATATATATATATATATATATATATATATATATATATATATATATATATATATATATATATATATATATATATAATACATACATACATACATACAGTACGAAATTCCAGATAGTTGCATTTGAATCGCTAACAAGATATTTAAAACTTAGATGAAAATTTCTTTACGAATCACATTATTACTTCTTTATATCTGAATAGAATGGTTTGTTGGTAAACAGTTAATTATCAGAAGAAATATACTCCTTACCTTTCAAAATGATTTTGTGAAATCTAGTTCTTCGCTTTTGGTGATCTGGTAAATATATGTTGATGTTTTTAAATATTTACATGTTCAGAAGATAGCTATAATTATATTCCTTATATAACTATGTACAATTACATTTTATAACATTTCATCAGCTGATTTTATATAACGTCTTATTTTGTACACAGTCATCTTTTTATATTATCCTAATTCATCTTCGTAAAGAACGAGAATATATTTTCCAGCCATAACTGCCTCAAACAATGTGTCCTACGATAACTTTCTTGATTTTGTAACGCTCTGGCACATTTGGTTTGATCTTTTTTTTCAGAGCCTTACTTTTGTCTAGCACCATGTATCAAATATCATGTTGAGATGCCTAGAATAACTAAAACATATATTAATTCCATTCTCAAACATTTTCTACTCTCTTCACAGGTAGAACAAGTGACTCATTCTATATTACCGTTATGTATTTGAACAAATGCCGTGCAGCAATATAAGTTACATCAAACGTTTTTCAAATGTTGGTTCTTTTGAATGCATATCAATGTTATGACTCTAGGGTCTAAACTAATTAACAGAAAAGCGAAACCAAATAAAGCAAAAATTAACAAAACATTATTTCCATATAATAAAAAATTAACATTTTAAAGTAATTTAATTGTATTATTGTGAATTCAGTGCCAATTAATCATACAGTTTTATTATAAACTTAAAATATTAAGTGTTCCGAATTAATGCCAGTGATGTTCGTATGAATTCATCTTGAATGTGTTGATATACCAATAATTTTAAATGTACCGATGTCTTGCTTTATCACGGTGATATTATCCAGACTTTTTGGATTGAATTCAAAATAATCCCAGCTAGTCCAAATATAAATAGACCCTTTGTACTTCCAATGAAATAATTTAAATAAATAAATCCTCTCAAATTAAAATAAAACGCAACTAAAAGCGATTCCACTAAATAGAGTTTAAAATAGGAATAAATATTTTTGATGAAAATAATCTGATACTAAAAGCTAACAGCAATGAGGACATATATCCAGGATGTGTGTCACTTTATATAATCACATTCGTATACAAGTTTGCTTCTAGAACATTTTAAGTGTCTATAAAAATGAGTTCGATATTTAGTCAAACATTAGTAAGCAATCTATATCTAACGTACAAGCAAAGCTAGAAGTAGGTACGTCATAAATTCAAAAGGCACAATTTTCTGTGCGATCATGGATAGACGTTAACCATGTAATATCTTATTTACAGTCTTCAATTATGGACTAAACTTAAACACGCATTATAGCCATACATAACACCAGCCTCCTGTATGCATTGTTATATGAATATAAGTTTCATGTATTTATTACAAAAATAAGAATATATGAATCAAGATTTAACTAATTATATATTTTATTAGATTTCTCATCTTACAAGAATACAATATTATCCACATCTGAAGAAATTGTTTAACATTAATATATTCAAAAAAGATGTTTTGATGATCTAACGGAAGAAACGCAATTTTGTTTGGAATGTTAACTAAATATTTGATTATTTTACAGTGACTATTATTTTAATTAAATTAATGAAAACTTTTATTTTCAAAGATTTGCTTTATTAATTTGAATGATTTTACTGATGGGGAATTGGATATTTATACCACCGTGTTGAAATTTATAGGTACAAATTAATATGTAAATTTGAAAATGTGGATAGATATCATTTGACAGGTCATTAGTTGGCATTGATTTTGTCAATTACATATGGTATACACTATTAGAAGTCTGTGATCTAACAGAATAGAAGTCTCTATTGGAAATTAATATTACGCTGCATCTTTTGCATGTGTAGGTCCGTGTAGAGTGAAAGTGGGAATGTTATCTTAAAACTAGACCGATTACCCACTAGATCATTTGTATTGGTCAACATTTGACTCATTTTTTGACTTCACGTCAGATGCTGGACGAAGTGAAATCCAAATACAATTTGAAGCCGTTACAAATGAAAATATCGATTCTAGCACATTCTATAACTCCCCAATGATAATATTATAACTACATGTAAAGTAAAATCTCCATTGAGATAATATAGTGTAGTTGATGGTTAGTAAATCACTGGATGATAGTATAATGAGGGTGTTGGGCAGTATAAATTGGATTTAGTCACTCTAACAGTATGATGTAAGTGTTTATTATTAGTCACTCCAATGGCTTGTTAAGTTTAAGGCGTGGATATTGGATAGTAGATAAATTTGGGTTAGTCACTAAAACGAAGTGTTAATGGTATAATGAAGGCCATGGATAGGAAATAACTGGGTATTGATCACTGACCTCGCGTAGATTGGAGGTCAAAACACTCCAACATAAAGTGCTTAACGGTGAATAGTTCATTGCGAGATATGCACTCTGGTGGGTCTTCTCCTTTTAGTATGTGCGAGTGGATTATATACATATGACCATTTCGAATTATTGCAATGACTACCTCTTCCATACGCATGTTTCTGTAGGAAGTAGTCCATTCTCCTAGGATTGGCTTGATGGCATGAAGTTTATTATTCACTGCATCATTTGATTATGCCATTTCTGACTTAAATATTCTTTGATACTATTTTTAAAATCAGTGTACGGTATTTAAAATTAAGATGGTTCAAGGGATAGGGCCTTTATTACAAAGGGATCATATGATGGTAGGGAGATAATGAGGGTAGCTTAAGTTATAACGGCTTGAAATTATATGTTTATATTCTTTGTTTAACATTGACAATCAGTCAGAAGATAGACACATTTGGTCGATGCTAAATGTGCTATAAGTTGGTTCCAAACGCAGACCATCAGGCCCGACCGCACAAGGTGGCAAGAACTGAAAAAAATTAACAGATACTCACAGACCTGCATTTCGGAATTCAGTATTCTGAATATTTTTCCAACCATTCTATAACTAGCCCTTACTCAAAGCCAAACGAACAGCGTCTGTTTTCAAAAGTCTACTTAAAAATATTAAGATCAAGTGCAAGTCGACGATTGTTTTAAATTTGGAAAATATAAAAAAATTATATCCCTGAACTCTTGGAGCCCTCCAGAGTCGTCTAGTCGTCTTCTGCATAAAGATTTCTGCCTTGTTCTCTTCCGGACACGAGTAATTAAGGATTTGTGGTTCACATAGTAAGGCGTTGCAACAATTTGACGAGTAATTAAGCATTGCACGGTGTGCCCTTTACACGAACTTGCATGGCCCAATGGCCGCTCACCTTCTAAATGTACGATCAATAAAAACAGTTGTGCCAGAGAGAGAGAGAGAGAGAGAGAGAGAGAGAGAGAGAGAGAGAGAGAGAGAGAGAGAGAGAGAGAGAGAGAGAGAGAGAGAGAGAGAGAGAGAGAGAGAGAGAGAGAAGGCGAAAACTGAACCAAAGAGACAGGTGCTTACAACTGAAGATGAACTAACCTTTGTTTGCCAAATCCCCAACCCTGCGAAAAGTCACCAGCCACCAGCTGATCTTGATCTGTATGGGACTTAACATTTTCTTTTGTAAAGCTCTTTGAACCTGAACTTCTTAAATAATTACCTTTATCGAACCACTGTATACAATACAACTTTTAATTTGTTTAATAATATATAACCTCATTAAATTGTTGAAGGGTAACTTGTACCCATTGGTTGGTTTACATTATTTGAAATATTAAGTACACTGAGTACACTAAATTTCAAATTTGAATGAAATAAATAAAGTTGTTACTAGATATACTGCTACAAATAGAAATATGTGAGGTAGGAGACAGTCCGAATTAGATATCTGAACAGAATTTGACTTAAAGTACATCTTTGGCATTCAAATTATTGGTTCTACTGCAGCTTTGTACCTCCACACAAACCCTTTTCTAAGATGGCCTCGCGCAGATGTTGTGTCAGAACCGGTCATATAATTAGAACGCTATGCGTACATTTACTCACCATACAATAACTAAAATGTGCACCCTTCACTCGTTTGAGTAATTCGTTGCACGTGACCTAGGGGGTCAAAAAAGACGTTAATACAAAATCAGTGGTTCTGTGATTGTGATGTGATTTTGATTTTTAACAATTTTTCAGTCATATCGCTACGATGTCTGCAGTGTAGCAGTTTATAGTTATGTCTAGCACTGGGGCATCATGCCGTAGGCATGTAACATTATATCCTACCCAGTTACAATATCCTGACATTAGGCTGACCAGTCCTAATAGTAACCTCTTAATGCTAAGCGTCAAGTGAGGCAGTTGTTAGTATCACTTTTGAAAGTCTTTGGCATGACTCGACCGGGGATCGAACCCACGACCTCCCGCATCCAAGGCAGACGCTCTAACCACTGTGTCACCGAAGCGGTTGTCAGTAATCTTCCTAATGATAACAATCCAAAGTTCAAACATTATTGACCGATTAAATGTGATATTGGTCTTGTTAAAACATATCAAGTACCTCCTAGACAGGGTAAAGTGGAGCTTCTTCAGTGAAAAGGAGTGTTTGTGTGATTTGTAGCTTTAAAGTAGCTTTAGCAATTTGTCAGTTATATAGCTATGACGTCGACAGTGTGGCAGTTTATACCAATGTTTGGCTTTGGTGCATCAAGCAACATGCATTTATCATGATGTCCTACCCAGGCATATAATCATGCTATTACGACTCTTCTTTAATTCATGCTAATTTCAGTATGTTCTAAGATCTACTTTTAATGATTTATAACATTGTTCAAGAAATTGTGAGGTTAGTTTTAATTGATAATAAATATGATATGACCGACGTTAGTTTAGCGAGTACAGTGTTACGTATTTCTGTGTTTAAACTAGTATGAACCATATCATAGACATCTGTCTGGACTATAAGGTAATTTGTAAGTATCTTTAATTATGAAAGAAGTTAGCCATCATCAAAAGCTGAATAGTTTCAAAAATATTTAGGAATCGGTGGCTGATAACATTGGTATACTGTTGTGCGTAGTTTCATAGTCTAATGAATTGCCTGTTAATAATACACGCTGATTGTAAGTTCTTTTCTGATACAAAAAATAGTCTAATTTTTAAAAGCTGAGCATTTTAATGGTGTGTCCTGCAACCCGTCCATAATATTAGCATTCCTGGTTAAGACCAATGGTAAGATTCAACAATTTCATATCCCAATTCCTGTGTCAGATATCATTGGATTACTTACTTAGACGTTTTGACATAAGCAAGCAAGGGTTCACACAAGAAATACAATTGTGTCATTGCTGAAACGGGCACTAATGTTTTAGATGGACAAATATAAAGCCAATACATTTTCTTTGGTGAACTTCTCTATTGGAAACTTTGTGGTGAATGTTGTCAGTGCACTTATACATATATCCATTTTTGATTGTGATCTTTTGAGATGACGAAAGAAGTAATTATGATATCGAAAACACAATTTATAAATCAGTCAATACATCAATCATCAAAAACTTAAATTGAATTGTCATTTCTGATATTGATAAAGGGTCATTTACCTATGCTTTCGTAAACATTATTATAAACATGTCCTGGATGACAAAATAAACTCTTAGAGTTTCAAGTTTCGATGGAACCACTTCTCCGCAGATGTATGCATGAATTATTGCAGTGATCCGATTCGATGCAAATAGGGGAGGGGGACTAATACCAAAATATACCTCACCCTTTTATTACACCGTTACAAAAGCTCTTTAAATGTTTAGCTACTGAAATTGTAATCCTAAAACTAGAACAGTTGGTAAATGGCTACGGACAGATAATTTATAGATTGTTAAAAACACATAAATAATAACATTTGGCCATTTATATTTTGCGACCTTTCCTTGTCTTCGATATGTTTAGTGGCTAACCTAATTCATGTTGATTCTCACGAAAGTTTGTTTTATTCATAATATACGAAGACGGTGCTTTAATAATGTCATAATTCTACACAATATCAGTTTTACAAGTAAAACCATTTTAGTATTTCAAAGCAATCTGCGAGGGATATATTCTGTTCGCTGTTCTTGTCGGCAGGACCTGACAAAAGATACGAAATCAAAGATAATTAAAACTGGTAATTTCCTTACCTAGGACTATACATTCAGGTCCTTAAAGTAATACCGTGAATTTAAAGACGAAGTGAGAAACTGCTTCAGTAATGTATTTAATTCATTATTAAGTAATCATTATCTTAAGAAAGTTTAATTTTTTAAATTGTCTAAGCTACAAAATATTTCAACAGTTTGGTTAAAAGATTTATTGAAATAGTTTAATCAAGTACACTCTCCCCAACGTAAACAAATAAATCAATACGACAGCTGGTATGATTGCCTTACTAAATGTAATCAACATATACCAACATTATCTTGCAAGTTTAATAATTGAGATATAATGTAACCTAATAGTGAAATGATAAATAAAGAGAAAATATATACGTATATATCTTGTCTGATCTATAGTTGGATTAGGACTTGCTACTAACTATTTACTTCTGACTCATATATGTCGGTCTGTCTATGAAAGCAATTTTCATCTTATCATCTACATGCCTAGTTCACCTTTTTCTATCACGAACAGAATTGACCTAGTGTGCTCTAGTTTCTTTACTACATTGCAAAGAGGAAGTGCTTGGAACAAATATTAACAGGATATCATAAATGATCGAGGAACAGTGTCACTGAAATAGAGACATAAATTGTATTTAAAAAGCATAACACTTTTGAGGGCCATTTAGATCGTTAGTTTTCAGATAATTGGTCTAATCGTCGTGGACAGCCTGCCTTACCAGTCCACATTTCATCGTGGACAGCCTGCCTTACCAGTCCACATATCATTCTGGACAGCCTGCCGTACCAGTCCACATTTCATCGTGGACAGTCTGCCTTACCAGTCCACATATCATTGTGGACAACCTGCCGTACCAGTCCACAGTTCATCTTGGACAGGCTGCCTTACCAGTCCACATTTCATCGTGAACAGTCAACATCTATAACTTTGAGATGATTTATACCAAGTGCAATGGCATGATTTATAGTTTATCTCAATGTGTTTAAAATGATACGTGATTTTCTGGACTCAACAAACATGTGTGCTTACAGAGGGACATATAACACAGCTGATGATTTCACTTCAGCCATATATTGACGTAGTGTTATATAATTTTAATCTACAACATAAATGTGTAAGTTGCACTCAGGTGTAAATTAATCATGTATGCATTTATGTGAATATGAATATAATTTATTGTAGCCTTTTCCCAAGAATAATTGTTGTTTTTTTTTCTGACACAATTATGATATCTCTAGTTTTGAATTAATTATAAAAGTCTGAACAAATTGAAACGAAAATTCTTAAATTTGCTTGCAGAAGCTGTGTACATTATATCGAATATCTGAAAATACAAAGGATAAACAAATAGACAAAGCATCGCATGTATGTACACAATGAGAAATACAATATGTGGCAGATAGCAAGAGGAATAAAGCATCGAAGAACGAATACGAAACAAACATATATACATATATCCGATGACATGCATGAACATATGCAGCCTTTTAATTCATTATTCGGTACCGTAAAATATATAAACTGTACACACTACGAATTATCTTGAAAGATACCCTTAGATCTGTGCAAAGTATATATTTCTAAGTTCTTTGAAGTTATAATACCAAACATTGGTAACTATATACATACGTATACATTTCTTAGAGAAAATATGTATCTGATTCAGTGATGAGATGATGGTCCTTCGTAATTTTCTATAGGGTCGACATAAATCCTAACTCATTGGTTCCAGAATGTAAAAGGAGCCAGACGAAGAACAATTTCAAAATTAAAGGCTCCAACATAAATCCAATAAGAATATAGAGATCTGCAGGCAGATATGATATCTATGACATATTCAGAAAACATCACAATAAAACCTAAGTATGGCTGCCAAATAATCTCTTTATGAGTCGATAGATTTATTTAAATGTAATATATTCTATATGGAAACTTGGAATCATGCTTACTTGGCACACCTATTCCCTTATATACGAAAAAATGTCTATTAAATTTGACATGATTTTTCAATGCCAGATATTTTGCTTTCAATCATATATGTTTCATTAAAGTCCAAAGAACAAATTCACTGACAACGCAAGTAGATGATTATGATTATCTTTGAATGAGTGTGTGTATGTGTGTATGTGTGTGATTAGGAATTTTAACGTAGCTTTAACAATTTATCAGTCATATCGCTAAGATGTATGCAGTGTGACAGTTAATAGTGATGTCTATCACTGGGGCATCATGCAAAGAGGCACTAGTCTACAAACAAAGCTGAAGGCATACCGAACGATAGTAATCCCAACGCTACTACACATTTCCAAATCCTGGACAGTTTCTCAACGCTATACTTAGAAGCTAAATCACGTGCACACAACTTGTCTCAGAGGACTCTTCACCATGAATTGGCAAGACTGGATCCGGGATGACGTAGATGATGATGGTCCTTGACGTAGCATGCTTTCATCCTGGAGTCACAGCTGCGATGAGCAGACCACGTAGTCACATGTCAGATCGCTAGTTTCCGAGAAGATATTTTGCATTGCTCAGGACAAGGGCTTGTGGCGCTCCTCCATTGGAAAAGGCGCTGCAGATTGCGTGACCTATAGAAAAGATGCAGCAGAACAACGGAGACAGACCAGGAAAGTTCTAACCAACGACCTCACGTTCTGCGTTGCTGCCATTTGTCCACACTGCCGTGGAACATTCAGGGCGCACATTGACCTCTTAAGTTATCTGCTCACCAACAGACCTATCGATTGCTTTCAAACATTGGATGATATAATTGGTTCTCGTCGTCTCGATTGACGAAGACCATACTTGTATAGTCTTGTGACAAATGGTAGTTCGGTCAACTCAATCTAAGCACGCTGCTTGTTTTGCAAAAATTGCCATGTCAATGGATTATGCAGGGATGCTAATATAAGCATGTTTCTTAATCAGTACTTTAATCACAGACTTCCACTCCTGAGGATAAAAAGCCTGTGCTTGTTAAAAGGTTTCAGACATTAAATAATAAGGGAAAGAATACATTTATAAAGTTTCCATTGAATGTATGAAAAAATATTAATAAAACCACAGGGATTACAATTTTGGAGAAGAAATATCTAAGTTGTGATTAAATCTTTGAAAGAGGTCTAGTATTGATCTCGGCATTGCTTGCGAAGAATATAAATAAGTAAGCTAGAAAAAAATAAGAAAGAATGAATTAATTAAAGAAAATGTAGAGAAAGTAATCCTAAACGACTAAACGGAATTACGAAGAAAGAGAAATGAAAAAAAAAGAAAGAAAATCAAATAAAGACAGTAAAATATTCGAGAATTT